GCTGGCACACAAAAGGGGTCACAGGAGGTGGTGACAGGCAGGGCAGCCCCCAGCTGGTGCCATGCCATGCCCTTGGTGACATGGGCTGCTGGCCCTTTGGGGACAGCGGGGTGTCCCCAACCATCAGGGGGTCACAGTGCCACCTCCCAGCCTCCTGCCCCCCAAAGAGGCTGAGCCAGCACTGAAGGTGGTGGGTCTGTGTCCCTGGGGTGGGGGGGTCTGGGTGTCCCTTTAAGTGTCCTGTCCCCATGCCAGCAGTGGCAGTGTGACCCTTCTCCCAGTGCCACCACGTGACAGGTTGTTTGTCCACTGTCCTGGTCCCCTGCCAGCGGGATCTGGCCATGCTGGGGCAGGGGGGGTCCGGCCATGCCGGGGAATTCCAGCCATGCCACCCCTCCCACAGCCACCTCAGGTCACAGCCACCCTCATGGCCCACACCCCATCAGAGGGGCCTTGTCCCCAGGTGTGCCCCAGGTCCACCGTGCCAGCAGAGGGACAGGGGTCCAAGCACAGGGTAGTTTCACGGCAGAGCAGTTTTTGGGGTGGGGGGTCCTGGTTGAGGGGTGCTGACCCCTCGCCCTGCATGGGGCAGTGCCCCAGGGGACCCTGTACCCCCCGGTGTGGTGTCCCCGGGGTGTCCCCTCTCTTTGGGGGGTGCCAGCTGTGGGGTAACCGTGTCCCTCCCCAGGTACGTCCAGAGCCTGCTGGACATCATGGAGTTCCTGGACAGGGACCCCGAGGACCAGGCCACACTGGGACAGTAAGCTGGGGGTGACAGCATGTCCTTGTCCCCAATCCCAGGGTGTCCCCTCCTCCCAGACTCCCCCTGGTGCGAACTGGTGTCACCCGGGGCTGGATCCCCCCCAAACTGCCCCCACCCCATCCCGGTGCCACCGGACTATGCTCCGGGTTTTCCTGGGTGCCACCAGGGGAATCCCGGCCTGGATCGGGGCCGTGCCCGGACCGGGTGTCCCCGGGGCCACCCCTGTGCCCTCCCCAGGTTCACGGGCGCCCTGGTCACCATCCGCAACCGGCACAACGACGTGGTGCCCACCATGGCCCAGGGGGTCATCGAGTACAAGGAGGCCTACGGAGACGATCCCGTCTCCAACCAGAACATCCAGTACTTCCTCGACCGCTTTTACCTGAGCCGCATCTCCATCCGCATGCTCATCAACCAGCACAGTGAGCAGGGGGCTCCGGGGGCCCCTGCACCCCTGGGCATCGTCTTCCTGAGTGTCCCCCTGTCCCAGCACCCCCAGCCCCGAGGGTCCCCAGCACCCTGGGCACCCCTGATAGCACTGGGTGTCCCTACACACCGCCCAGAGTGTCCCTCCAGCCCCAGGGGTCTGTCCCAAGGGTCTCTCTGCCCTTAGGGTGCTCCTGAGTGTCTCCCTGCCCTGGCACCCCCTGCCCCCAGGGTCCCCATCAGCTCTGAACATCCCTGCCAGCCCTGGCATTCCCCTGTGCCCCCCAGAGCATCCCCCCAAACCCCAGGGATCTGCCCCAAGGGTCACCTTCAGCCCCAGGGATCAGCCCCTGCCCTGAGGGTCCCCTAAGCATCTTCCCTTTGAGTATCCCCCACCCTGAGGGTCCCCTCCAGCTCCAGGGCTCCTGCCCCTGCCTCAAATGCCCCCTCAAACCTCAGGGATCTGCTTTGAGGATCCCCCCACCCTCAAGGACTGTGCTCTGGATGTCCCCCTCAGCTCCAAATGTGCCCCCCAGCCCCAGGGGTCCTGCTCCACATGTCCCCCCCCAGTGTTCCTGCCCCAAGGTTTCCCCTCTAACCCCAGAGACCTGCCCTGAGCATTCTTTTGTCCCAAATGTCACCCCCAGCCCCAGGGATCCTGCCACAAGGGTCCCCCCACCCCAAATGTCCCCTCCAGCCCCAGGCATCCTGACCCAACGATCCCTCCACCCCCAGGGCTCCCGCCCCAAATTTCCCCTTCCCCTAATGTCACCCTCAGCCCCAGGGCCAGTGCCCTGAGCCCCCTGGGGGTGTCCCCGGGTGTCTCTGGGGTTGGGGTGGAGTCCCCACAGCTCGTTGTCCCCCCCAGCTCTGCTCTTCGACGGCAGCACCAACCCTGCACACCCCAAACACATCGGGAGCATCGACCCCCACTGCAACGTGGCCAACGTGGTGAGAGGTTGGTGGGGTCCAGGGGGCTCCCACCCCCACGGGGGGTGAATTTGGCAGGGGAGGGGTCGCTGAATGTCCCCCTGATCCTCCCCTTACCCTGTTTGGGAGCCATTTGTGTCACAAGTTTGGGTTGCCCTCAGCAAAAGTGTCCCCTGTGCTTTGGGGTCGTGCCAGGAGACCCCAGAAACTTGCTGAATCTGTAGGACTGGAAAATCTTTGGGGGTGGGGGGCAAAGGGGGGGGGACCCTAAATGCTCCCTCTGTTCCATTTTGGGGGGTGCTGACCCCTCTGCTCCCCCCCCAGACGCCTACAACATGGCCAAGCTCCTGTGTGACAAGTACTACATGGCCTCGCCCGACCTGGAGATCGAGGAGGTGAACGGTGAGGCCCGTCTGGGGGGATTCTGGGGTGTCTCCTTTGGGGTTGGGGGACCCCATGGTGGGGGGATTTTGGGGTGGCTCCAGGGTTGGGGGAGCACAGCGATGCCAACGGCTGCTCCTCCTCCCCACAGCCACCAACTCCCAGCAGCCCGTGAGCATCGTCTACGTGCCCTCCCACCTCTACCACATGCTCTTCGAGCTCTTCAAGGTAACCCCAGCCCTGCTGGGGGGGTCCGAGGGGGGGTTTTGGGAGTCCCCCCTGACCCGGTGACGCCTCCATGCCCCCAGAATGCCATGAGAGCCACCGTGGAGAGCCACGAGAGCAGCCCCCGCCTGCCTGCCATCAAGGTCATGGTGGCCCTGGGCCAGGAGGACCTTTCCATCAAGGTGAGGGACCACCAGCTCCATCCCGAGGGGGTACAGTTTGGGGTGGGGGGCCAGGAGCAGGGTTGTCACCCCCGGTGGTGTCTCACAGATGAGTGACAGGGGCATGGGGGTCCCTCTGAGGAAGATCGAGCGTCTCTTCAGCTACATGTACTCCACGGCCCCCACCCCCCAGATGGGCACTGGGGGGACCCCCCTGGTAGGTGACCCCCCTGGCGTGGGCTGTGGGGGTCCCACGGGGTCCTGGGGAGAGGAGGGTGTGGGTGTGCGGGTGGGGGTGTCGGGCGTGGGTGGGGATATTTCAGGGTGGGTGGAGTGGCTTGGGGAGGTTTGGGGGTGGCATGGGCTGTTTTGGGAGTGGTTTGGGGGGGCCAGAGTGGCATGGGGGTGCTTTGGGGGTGGCATGGGGTGGTCTGGGGGAACTGGGATGGCATGGTGGTATTTTGGTGGTGGTATGGGGAGGTTTTATGGTCCATTGGGGGTGGCATGGAGTGCTCTGGGGGTCCTTTGGGGGTGTCCTGGGGTGGTTTGGGGTGGCTGGAGTGGCACGGGGGTGTTTTGGGCATGGCTTGAGGAGGTTTTGGGGTCCATTGGGGGTGGCATAGGGTGGTTTGGGGGGATGGAGTGGTATGGGAGTGTTTTGGGGATGGCACAGGGAGGTTTGGGAGCGGATAGAGCGACATGGGGAGTTTTGGGGGTGGCATGGGGAGATTTTGGGTTGCCGGGGGGCATTTGGACGTGGCACAGTGACCGCTGGCAGGGGCATGGATACTTTGGGCTGCACATGGTGCTGCTTGTGGTGATGTGGGGAGGCTTGGGGTGCCCCGGGGGTGCCACCCCAGCACTGGAGACCCCCCACCCCATTCCCCACCCCCCCAGGCCGGGTTTGGCTACGGGCTGCCCATCTCCCGCCTCTACGCCAAGTACTTCCAGGGGGACCTGCAGCTCTTTTCCATGGAGGGCTTCGGCACCGACGCCGTCATCTACCTGAAGGTGGGTCTTTCTCCCTCCAGACAGGGGGCTTGGGGCTCGGGGCGGGGGCACAGGACCCTGCCCAGCCCCCTGTGTGCCCCCAGGCCCTGTCCACGGACTCTGTGGAGCGGCTGCCCGTGTACAACAAGTCGGCGTGGCGGCACTACCAGGCCAGCCAGGAGGCCGGGGACTGGTGTGTGCCCAGCACTGAGCCCAAGAACACCTCCACCTACCGCGTGCCCTAAGCCCCCCGGGGCTCACAGCCCCCCAGGCTGCAGGGAACCCCTTGCCCCAGCTCACAGGGCCCTCCCAGGGTGGCCCCCAGGGCCCCGGGGGGTTGTTGGATGGAGCATCCCGGTTCTGTGGCTCTTTGGGCTCCACTGGAAGGGGGTCCTGGTGGGGTGTGGGGGGTCCCAGTGGGGTGTGAGGGGGTCCCAGCACCCCCCACCTTGGTGGCACTTAGGTACGTAGCTGGGGGGGTGTTGGAGCAGCGTGGAGGGGGTAAAGCCCCTCTTGCCCCCCCTCCCACCTCCCTTCCCTTCACACCCACCCCAGGGGGTGCACCCCAGCCCAGCAGGGGACTGGTCTCCTTTCCCAGTATGACCAGTAGCACTTCCCTGCTCCACCAGCCCTGACAGGGTGGGGGGCCCAGGCCTGACCCACCCTCCCCCCCCCATTTCCCATCTCCCATCCCTGTTATTGCACTACTGAGCTGTTCTCACCTGCGTGTGCCCCCCACCCCTGCACCCCTTGCACTCCCCCGGGGTGGGTTCCCCACCCCCCACATGCTGTGACCTGCTCAGAAACCTCCCCCTCCTCCCCCAAATTCTCCTTTCCCCTCCACCCCCCAGACCGTCCCTCCCCACTGTCAGTAAATTGGTTGTTGGTTGAACTCCTGGTGTGGTGTTTTGGGGTCCTGGAAATGCCCCTCCTTTTGCACCCCCCAAATGGGTCACTGACCATCCCCCCCGTGCCTCAGTTTACCCACTCCCAGGCTTGGGAGGGGGCTGGGCACAGTCACAGGGTGGCACCTGGGGACACAATGGGGACCAGCCTGGCACCGAGCTCCCCCCACCCCATCTTGCCCTCCAGCCCCACCCCAGTCAGCCTCACACTGGTCTCACTGGTTTGCACTGGCCCTTGATACCCTTTTATTTCCTGGCGTGGCCTCTGGGGTGCCATATTTGGGGCTGGGGGTGTGTGGGGAGGTCAGCAATCACCCCCCACACCCCAACTGGGGGGTGTCCCCGTGTGGGGGGGGTCAGGCCACACGCTGTCCCCAGCCAATGCTGGCCGTGACCCCCCTGCCCCCTTGGGGTGCTGCTGACGGGGTGGGAGGTGACGGGGCAGGGTGGGGGTGTCCAATGTGCCACTTGCATCTGCAAAAGGGGCCCCTGGAGGGGGGGGGCCCGGCTGTGCCCGTGGGGTGCAGGGGTGCAGGCGGGGAGGGGGCTGGAGGAGGGGGGCACGTGGTGCTCCGTGCTCGTCTCAGCCTGGCACCGTCCCTCAGCCACGCCAGTGTGTCCCACGCCGGGGGTCCCCCGGGGCGTCCCAGGGGGGCTGTGGGTGGGGAGGGGGTGCAGGGGCACTCCCAGGCCCCCCCTTAACTCCGCCGCTGCTCCTGGAGGTCCTTCTTCTTCTGCTTCTCCCGCTGCTTCTCTGCCTTCTCCTGGGCCTTGCGCTCCCTCTCGGCCGCCAGGCTCAGCTCCTTCAGCTTCCTCTTCAGCACCGCCCTGTCCTGGGAGCTGCCCACCCCCAGTGCCTGTGGGCACAGCGGGGGGCTGGCAGGGGGGCCATGCTGCCCCCCAAGCCCTCTGGGGTACATGGACCCCCCCTCAGATCCTCGGTACCCACACCCCCCGTGCAGCAGCGCCTTGGAGTCCCCAGAACTTCCCATCCGCCTCCTGGACTCATCCCTTGGGATACCTGGAACTTCCTGCCATGTGGAGCCACTGGTTTGGATAAGGGGGTTTAGGTACCCCATGATGAGCCCTTTGGGGTACCTAGAACCGTCCCAGACCTGCTCCATGGAACACCCCGTTGGGCTGCCCAGAACCATCCCAGACCTTCCTGCCCTGTGGAGCATCTTAATGGGGTAACTAGAACCTGCCTGGACCTTCTGCTCCATGGAACACTCCATTGGGGTACCCAGAACCCTCTAAGACCTCCTGCTCTGTTGGGGTACCCAGAACCTCTTGCCCCACCCCAGAGCCCATTGCGGCACCCAGAACCCCCCCCGTGCCCCCTCATCAGAGCCCCCCAGCCCCGTACCTTGAGCTTGGCCCCGTCGAGGTGCAGGAGCCGGGGCCCATCCACGCCGTGGGCAGAGAAGTCCTGCACGTACTGCTCCAGGCTCAGGCTCTCCAGCCACTGCCCCACCTGCTGGCACGTCCAGCCCGCGGCCGCGCCGGGGGGCTCCTCCAGGAACTGGCACAGGGCGTTAATGGGGGGTCCCCCTGGGATATGGGGGGGGGGAACACCCCGACCTCGCCCCCTCGCCGTGTCTCACCTCGTCCGAGGACTGGGACAGGGTGTGGTAGGGGTACGAGCACTTGGCGCGGGGGGGCCCGGGCAGGCGGGGGCTGGCGCTGGGCGGGGGGGAGTCCTCGCTCAGCGTCGAGTCCTGGGGCAGCGTGAGGGGGGGTGAGGGCAGGGCTGCCCCCCCCGGACCCCTCTACAGCACCCTCCCACACCCATAGGGCTTCCAAACCCCCCTGGGCTTTCATCCCACAGCCCCCCATATCTAGCTTGACCTTGTGGGGCTTTGAACCTCCACCCCAATATCTGTCTTGACTCTATAGGGCTTTGCATCCCCCCACCCCAGCCATCTTGACCTTGTGGGGCTTTGGACCCCCACCCCAATACCTGTCTTGACTCTAGGGTCTTGACACCTCCCTCTCCCAAGCCATTTTGACCCTATAGGGCTTTGGACCCCCTCCTAATACCTGTCATGACTTTATAGGGCTTTGACACCCCCCCCCCAGCCATCTTGATCCTATAGGGCTTTGCCCCCACCCCCAGTACCTGCTTTGACTCTCTAGGGCTTTGACACAGCCCCCCCATATCCATCTTGATCCTATGGGGCTTTGGACCTGCTGCCCCCAATACTTGTCTTGACTCTTTAGGGCTTTGACACCCCCCAAAGCCACCCTGACCCTATGGGGCTTTGTTGTCTGTCCCTACAGCTGGTGTCACCTCCTCTCCTATAGCCACCGAATGCAGGGGAGCATCGACGTCCCTATAGGGACCCCACCCCCTCCCTTATCCCCACAGTGCCAGGCCCCCCCTCCCCTGGCCGGGCACTGACCTGGGAGGCGGATTTGGCGGGGCTGAGCCCCTCGTGCCGGGGGGAGCCGCAGGGGGACGCGGAGCCGGGGGAGCCCGAGCCCCTGGCGCTGTCCGAGAACCACGAGAAGGGCAGGAAGGGGGAGCCCGAGGGGCGGCCGGGACCCTCTGCCACCTCCCTGGGCACAGAGCCGTGTCAGGGGTGGGGGCCGTGCCCAGGCAGCCCCCCCTGCCCCGGTGAGGGGGTCCCTCACCTGCTGCCCGTGGACAGGCGGTTGCTGCTCTTCTCTTTGCGGCTCTTGCCGGAGGACGCTCGGCGCAGGGTCACCCTGGGGGAGAGGGGGGGAGTCCTGAGGGCTGTGCTCCCCCCATGGGCCCCAGGACCCATCCTTCCACCCACCCATCCATCCATCCTTCCATCCACCCACCCATCCATCCATCCTCAGAGACCCCTCCATTTCCTCCAGAGGATCCTCCACTCGTGCATCCCTCCTCTGTGCATCCCGCCATCTTTTCCTCCCTTCAGGCATCTCTCCAGCTGTGTCTCCATCTTTCTTTCTGTTGCACCTCTTGATCTCTGCATCCATCCTCCCTCCATCCCTGCATCCCTCCATCCCCCATCCTTCCCCCCATCCCTCCCTGTATCCACCCTCCATCCCTTTCTGTATCCCTCCCTGCACCCCTCTGTCCCCCTCCATCCCCTCTGCATCCTTGTGTCCCCCTCCATTCCCTCTCTATCCCTCCCTATCCCGTCCTGCATCTCTTCCTCCATCTCTCCATCCTGTCCTGCATCCCTCTGTCCACCTTCATCCCCTTTCCATCCCTCCCTATCCCCTCCTGCATCCCTTCCTCCATCTCCTCTCCATCCCCTCCTTCATCCTTTCGTGGCCCACTCCATCCCCCCAGTCCCCCTCCACCCCTCCTCCGTGTATCCCCCCGCTCCCCCCAGGGCCGGGTCTCACCCCAAATCCAAGAACTTCCTCCGTGTTTTCTTGTCCAGCCCCACGGTGGGACTGGCGGGCTCGGGGGGGCTCATGTCCCTGCTGTCATCTGCAGGAGAAGGACCGGGGTGTCCCCCACCGCCCCCCCCAGTGCTGGGGGATGTCCCAGGGGTCCCTGTGCGCCCCGGGGGGGTGTCTCACCTTCGCTGTGCTGCCGGGGCCGGGCATCGCGGCGGGCGAAGCCGGGGGAGCTGTCGGAGCTGGGGCAGGATTTGGGCACGGTGGGGCCTGACAGCCCCTCCTGGGACGAGGTGTTGGTGAGGGGCCGGTAGCGGCTGAGGGGGGTCGTGGGGGCCGGGGGGTCCCCCAGCGCCGCCCGCCCCGGCCCCCCGTCGAAGGAGAAGTCGTCGGCACGGGAGAAGGGCGAGGGGGTCGGGGGGCTGCCATCGCCCTCGGTGCCCTGGGGGGCACACGGCAAGGGGAGGGGGGGGTCAAACCCCTGCACTCCCCCGGGTTTGTCCCCTAGACCCCCATCCCTGCCCTAACCCCAGCCATGGCATCCCCCCTCTAATCCCTGGGGTAGATGGTGCCCCCAGCCCTGCAGCCCAGCCATAGTCCCTGGGGTCTGCGGTGCCCCCCAGCCATGGATTCCCCCCTCTACTCCCTGGGGTCCACAGAGCCCCCCACCTCTTCAGCCCCGACGTCCCCCAACGCCATCCCCGGTGTCCGCGGTGCCCCCCGCCCCTGCCGCCCCCGGTCTCACCGCGGTGTCCCCCTCGTCGCCCTCGGTGGAGCTGGCGCTGTCGCGCAGGCGGGAGCGGGAGGGCCGGTGGCGGCGGCCCTTGGCCAGCAGGCGGGCCCGGGCTTTGTGCAGGCTGCTGTCCAGGCGCGGCGTCTCTGGAACCACAGCGGTAAAATCTGGGGGTGAAAGAGAGACCGGGGCAGAGAGAGAGAGAGAGACGGACAGACGGACACGGGGTGCGGTGGGGTGGGATGGGATGGACGAGGAGAGAGAAGGATGATGGGGTAGACGGAGGGATGGAGGGATGGACAAGTAGGGAGAAGGGATGGATGGATGGATGGATGGAGAAGGAAGATGGGGAGGGATGGAGGGGGGAATACAGGAACAGGTAAGGAGAAGGAAGATGGAGGGATGGACGGACGGATGGATAAGGAAAAGGAAATGGTGGACAGGTGGATGGGTGGGGCCAAGCAGATGGGAGAAAAGGAGGGAGTGATGGATTGATGGGAGATGGAGGGATGGATGGCCAAGAAGGGGCAGGGAGAAGGGGACGGGGGAGCGTTGGAGGGAGGTGGACAAGAAGGTCAGGAGAAGGCCAGCCCGGTGGAGAGGGGACAGAGGGACATTGGGGACAGGGCAGGAGAGTCAAAGGGCAGGAGGGGGGTCCCAGGGAGATTGGAGGGGGCACAGGGAGAGGGGAGCATTGGGGACATGGATGGGGCACCCCAGTGGGGCAGGACAGGGAACAGGGGGACAGAGAGAAGTGTTCAAAGAGATGCCCCGGCACGGGGAGAGAAGCAGTGGGGTGACCCCGAGGACAGAATGTCCCTGTCACCCAGGGGGGCCACGCTTTGTCCATGGTCCAACTGGGATCCCACTCATGTCCCTGCCCTGCTGTGGCCCCTGTATCCCAACTCAGCACAAGGGGTGGCTCTGGGCCATGACCCCATGTCCCTGTCACCCTGTGCACCTCCCTGTGCCTCTCCCCATGTCCCCACATTCCTGTCACCCTGTGTACACCCCTATGCTCACACCTGTGTGTCCTGGACGTGTCCCCATGTCCCTGACACTCTCTGCATGCCCCTGTCCCCTGTATGTGTCCCTGTGTCCCCCTGCCCATACACATCCCTGTGTCCCCAAGTACACGCTGTCCCCAAGCCCAGTTTGTCCCCCCCTAAGATAGGAGGACACTGAGGGTGGGTGGGGACCCACAGGCAGCTCTGCACCCCCCAGGGTGCTCTGCACCCCATTTGGGCATCTGCACCCCATGTGCCCACTGGGACTCACCAAAAACCTCATCCGTGTCCTGCAGCTTGGAGACCGACATGGTGGGACAAAGCTGGGGACAGAGGGGACAGTCAGGAGAGGAACTAGACCCTCTCCCAGTGATGCCAGTGACCCCCCCTGCCCTCCCAGTGATCCCCGTGTCCCGGGGCTCGGGGGGTCTCGAGGTGGGGGTGGGGACTCCTAATGCCTTGGCACCATCGGGGCAGGGGACAGGTGGGGTAAGGGGGGGCAGATCCGTTCCTGGCTCCCCCCCAGCCCCTCCCTCCCCCCGGGGAACGGGTCCGGCACCGGTGGGGGCTGAGGGGAGGCAGTACCGGGAGGGGACAGGACCGGGGATGATGTAGCGGTGTTTGGAGCTGTACCGGGCTGGGGCTGCACCGGGGCTGTACCGGGGGACGATGCTGTACCCGGGGTCGCCGAACCGGGAGCTGGGGGGCTGTACCGGGATGGGGCTGTACCAGGGGATGGGGCTGTACCGGGATGCGGCTGTACCGGAGCTGTCCCAGGGGATGCTTCTGTACATGGGGTGCGCTGTACCGGGATCTGGGGGGCTGAACCGGGCTGGGGCTGTCCCGGGGCTGTCCTGGGGGATGGTGCTGTACCTGGGGTGGGGCTGTACCGGGAGTAGGGGGCTGTACCGGATGTGTACCGGGGCTGTACCGGGGGCTGGGGCCGTACCGGGGGCTGTACCAGGGACGCTGTATCAGGGGTGGGGCTGTCCCTGGGGTGAGGGGCTCTACCGGGTTTGTACTGGGGGTGCTGTCCGGGGGATGAGGCTGTACCAGGAATACTGAACCGGGGGGATGGGGCTGTCCCGGGGGAGGGGCTCTACCGGAGATGCTGTACCGAGGCTGTACAAGGCATGCTGTCCCGGGGGTGGGGCTGTCCTGGGGATGCTGTACCGGGGATGCTGTACCGGGGGATGGGGCCATGCCGGGGCCGCTGTCCGGGGGTGACGCCCTGTCCCCCCCCGCCCCCGACTCACCGGCGCTTCTGGGGCATCCTGGTCGCCCCCGGTCGCCTCCCGCGGGCTGGGCCGGGGCCGTGGCAGGGCCGGTGGGAGCGGAGGGCGCTGCCGAGCCGGGCTGGGCCGCCCCGCCGGGCCGGGGGCCGCGGGGGGGGCACAGGAACCCGGAAACGGCGGGGGGGGGGGGGGGGGGGGGGGGTCAGCCCCGCCCGAAGCGGGGCCGGTGATGAACGGACAGAGACGGGGGGGGCACCGGGAGGGGGGCGTGGGGGGGATACACGGGGGTGCTGAACGGACAAGGACGGGGGTGCTCTGGGGGCGGGCAGAGGGCATGGGAGGGACAGACGCACACACGGGGACAGTGCTGAAGGGACAGCGACGAGGGGGGCACCGGGGGAGGGGGCACGGGGACACCGGGCACGGACGGACAGACGCGCACACACGGCGGTGCTGAACGGACAGCGACCGGGCACGGGGACACCGGGCACGGACACACCGGTGACCCCCACGGTGCCCAGTGTCTCCCATCCTCCACAGTGCCCCGAAGTGCCCCCCACCCTTCGCAATGTCCTCCACATGCTACTCACTCCTCCCAGTGCCTCCCAATTCTTCCCATTCCTCCCAGTGCCCTACAGTCTTTCCTGCTCCTCCCAGTGCCTTCCAACCCTGCCCACTCCCCTCCAATTCTTCACACTTCCCCCCAATCCCTTCTTCTCAGTGCCCACATCGTGCCCACTCCCCCCAGTTCCCCCAATTCTTCTCACTTCCCCCAGTTCCTCCCAAACCCTCCCACTCCTCCCAGTGCCCTCCATCCTCCTCGGTCCCCCACCTTCCCACTCCTCCCCATGACCCCCAATCACTCCCAGTCTTCCCTATTCCCCCCATCCTTCCCAGTCTCGCCCATCGCCCCCCGAGCCCCCCCAGCCGCCCCCCCGACCCATCCGCGGGCAGAAGGAGGCGGGGGGAAGCCGAGGCCGCGTTTATGGGGTGGGGGGCCGCGGACGCTGCGTTACAAAACGAGGACCAGTACATACATAGGTACATTATATATAGTATATACACCCACAGGTACACGTGTGAGATTAAATAACCCCAGCCCCCCCTGGGGCTCGCGCTCCCCGACCCCCCCTTAAATATCCTCCCCCCTCCCCAAGTGGCTCCAATCCAGTCGGACCCCCCTTCCCCCGCCCCCCCCCCCCCCCGTGCCCCCCCCCGCCTCCCACTCCCAGTATAACCAGCTCTGGCTCCCAGTTGCCCCCACATCCAGTTACTGTCGGAGACTCGGTACTTCGGGGCAGGGGGCGAGGGGGGCAAAATAGAAATGAAAAATAATGGGGTTCCCCCGGGCCGAGGGAGTTGGACCCCCCGACCCGGCTGGGGGTGGCCAGTAGTGGGGGGTGTCCCAGCCCCAGAGAAATACTGTGATTTGGGGGGGGGGTATTTACAGTTGGGGGGTGAGGGCATCGCCCCCACCTTGGAAGGGGACCCCCGTGTGTCCCCCCCCCGCCCAGGGAAGGCGAAAGCCCCGGGCTCAGGGAGGGTAGCAGAGGGTGCTGGGGGGCACTGGGGGCCCCCACAGTGGGGTGCTGGGCAGCCCCCCATTGCCGGGGGAGGCAGTGGGGCTGGTGCCCCCCCATCCTGCTGCAGGGGTTGGCAAAGGCTGGGGGGGGCTGTCCCTCCTGCCCGGCGATGGTGGCACTGAAGGGGAGTGAGAGGGGGGCACTTGGGGTCCCCCCTCCATGGCAATGGTCCCGGGCACCAACCCCGAGGGGGGCACCTCGTTGTGGGGCTGGGGGCGAGTCCGTTGGTGGGGTGGGGAGGGCCAAGGCAACCGACCCCCCCCGGCCCATGCTCCAGGTGAGTCCCAAGAGAAGGAGCTGGGGATTGGGGGGGTTTCCAGCGTACCCCCCCAATATGGCTCACAATTTGGGGGGGTGGGGGGGTGCCATTGTCCGGTCCCCGCCCCCACAGCGTCCAACCAGGGTGCCAGCTCTGTGTCCGGGGGCGGGGGGGTCACGTCGAGGGGAGGGGGGAGGCCTGGGGGGAGCTGTGCCCCCCCCCATCGGTCCATCACGTCACCACGAGACTCACACTGGACACAGACACGAACGCGGGGTGTGTGTCCCCCCGAAACCCCCCCTCTGTCAGACACCCCCCCACACACACTGTCTGTGCCCCCAGGGGGGAGTGGGGGGCACCAGGAGGCCTTGGCGGGGGTCTCATCTCCTCCCCGGTGGGGAAGAGGCGGGGAAGGGGGGGGGGCAGGGCTGGGGGGGTGGTTTGGGGAGAAGAAATGGGGGACCCCCCCACCCCGAAATCGCTGCGGTTTGAGGGTGGTTTAAGTCGGGTTGGAATTTTTCAAAGTCTGCAGCTTGGCCTCCAGTTCAGAGATCTGAAAAACAGCAAAGGGGACAGGTCTCAGCGGGGGGGGCCGGGAGGGGGCACACACGGGGGGTGGGGGGGACACGGTTGTGACCGTGGGATGGGGGGACAGGATGAGGATACAGGGATGGGGACACGGAGATGGGGGGACAGGACAGGGAGGGATGGATGGGACTGGGGGGAAGGACAAAGGGGGCAGGACATGGGGGTGCTGGGGTGGGGGGAAACATGGAGGGGTGGGAAGGACGAGGGGGAGGGCAGGGAGATGGCACAGAGGGGCAGGAGACTGGAGGGGTGGATGGGACAGGGATGGGGGCACAGAGATGGGGGGCAGGTTGGGGACACAGGGACAGGGGCACAGAGACGGGTGGAGGGGGGGCAGGAATAGGGGGGCAGACTGGGGGCACAGGGATGGGGAGGGGGCAGGGATGGGGAGGGGGCTGCAGGCAGGTGGTGGGTGAATCTCTGTGGGATGTCAGGGGATATTTTGGGGTGATGGAGGCGGGTGCAAGGAGGGGCTCTGCTGGGTGCCAGGGACCTCCCCGCTGTGCCCTGGTGCCCCCCAGCCGGGCAGGGGATGCCCCCCCCACTGTGACCCACGGCAGACCCTTGGGATCCTTTGGGATCTGGTGAGCCCATGTGGGATCCGCTGTGGCCCCGCACGGCTCTGACCCCACGGCTGGGGGGGATCCAGTGTGGCTGGCATGGAATTCAGTGGGGTCTGTTGGGGGATCCAGCATGACCAGCATGGGATCCGGCTCCCAACAGGATCGTGTGGGATGATCTCTGGGGATCCCTCGTGGGATCCCGCACAAGCAGCCTGGGATCTGGTGCCCGAGGTGATCTCTTTGTGGGCTGTCAGACCCCAGAGCAGGATCCGCAGGCAGATCCCCTGCAATCCAGGGTGGGATCCAGTGCCGGGAGGAGCCCGGGCGTTGCCCAGCGCCCGAGCAGATCCGCTGTGATCCGGTGGTGGGAGCACAATCCCGCTGGGAGCCCCAGGTAGATCCACCGTGACCCGGGGTGGGATCCAGCGGCCGTAGCTCAGTCCGGAGGGAGCCGGTGCCCCACACGGCTCCACAGCCCCCCGGCGCGGGATCCGGTGGCCCAGCAGATCCCCCGCGATCCATCGGCGACGGAGCCCCGGGAGCGGTGCGGCCGTGGCCGGGCGGGGCTGGGGGGCTCAGGGACACCCTTGGTCCCGGCGCCCGGTGCCCACCTTCTCCTGCAGCTTCTCCATCTCCTCTTTGTGTGCCAGCTCCGACTCCTCCAGCACCCGCCGCTGCGCCGTCTCCTTCTTCAGGAACTCGATCTCCCTGCGGGAATCGGTGCGTGGGTGCACGGCCCCCCCGCCCGGCACTGGGGATACCCCAGGGAGGGGGACCAGGGCAGGGGCATCCTGGGACACCCAGCCCAGTGGGAGGATGGTGCCTAGGGGTCTTCCAGGGGATGGGCCGTGCCCAGGGAATGAGGGATGCACACAAGCCCCAGGGATCATGGAATCATCAAGTCATGGAATAGTTGGGGCTGGAAGGGATCTTAAAGATGATCTTATCCCACTCCCTGCCATGGCAGGGACACCTTACACTAGACCAGGTTACTCCAAGCCCTGTCCAACCTGGCCTTGATGGATTTATGTCACAGGGAAGGTCCCTGCACAGGGAATGGTCCATGCCAAGAGAACAAAGGGTGCCCAGGAAGGATTTGGTGCCCCAGGGATGAGTCTCTATCAAGAGAAAGGTTCCTTCCCAGGGCATGATCCATGATCAGGATGGAGCTCTTTCCCCAGGGAGGAGTCCCTGCCCAGTGGAATGTCCCTGCCCAGGGACAGGGGGTGCCCAGGAAGGATCTGGTGCCCCAAGGGATGTATTTCTGCCCAAGAGACGTTAAGTGCCCAGGGACAAAGGGTGCCCATGAAGGGGTCAGAGCCCCACAAGAGGGTCCACACCAAGGGCATGATCTGTGCCCACATTATGTGGCTGTGCCCAGGGACAAGGGGTGCCAGGGAAGGATCTGGTTCCTGGGGGACGGATCCATGGCCAGGGGGCAGCTCAGCCCAATGGCATGGTCTGTGCCCAGAGATCAGGGATGCCCAGGGAGGGCCTGGCCCAGCCCAATGTTCCCAGGGACCAGGGGTGCCTGAGGAGGGGTCAGTTCCCAGGGGACGGGTCCATGCCCGGGTGGACACGGGGTGCCCAGGGGAGGACGGGCAGGGGGTGGGCCCTCACTTCTGCTGGTACTCCTTGATGAGCCGCTTGGCCTTGCTGTACTTGCGCTCCAGGGTCTGGTACTGGGCCTGGGTCTCCTTGAGGTGCTCGTCCACGGCCTGGCACAGGTTCTGGGCCTCCATCCAGTACCCTTCCAGCTTCTCCATCCGCTCCTTGTTCTCCTCCACGCTCTGCTCCAGCTGGGCCTTCTCAGCCCGCCAGCGTGCCTTCTCCTGCTCCAGGCACTGCAGCTGGGGATGGCACAGCATGGCACAGTCAGGGAGCGGGATATGGCAGAGCATGGCATGGCAGTTGGGGAACAAGCATGGCACAGCATGGTATGGCATGGCAGAGACAGGGATAAGGATATGGCACAGCACGGCACAGTCAGGGAACAGGATATGGCATGGCATGGTGTGGCATGGCATTACAAATCAGGGAACAGGCATGGCATGGTATGGCACAGCCACGTGGTGTGGCATGGCACAGCAAGACACAAACAGGGAACAGGCATGACATGGCACAGCCAGGTGACAGGCAGAACACGGCACAGCACGTGCAGGGCAGGGGTGGGGATGTGAGGAATTCAGAGAGGATGGTGGAGATAGAGATCCAGGGGTGCCAGGGGAGATGTCAGGGTGTCCCCCCACCCCTGGGCAGCCAGGTCCCCCAGACCCCCACTCACCTTCCTCTTGAGCTGCTGGATCTCGGCCTCGGTGACAGCGTGTTTGATCTGGAGCTGCGGGAGGAGCCGGTGTGGGCACGGGGTGGGCACACACGTGTGGGCAGCCCCCTCTCCCCCGGCTTCCCCCCAGCCCCTCCTCACCTCCTTGAACTTGTGCACCAGCTTCTCGGGGTCCATCTCCACGGGGGACAGCGTGTCCTCGTTCTCGGCCAGCTCGAACACCTCGATGGCCATCTCCCCGCCGGGGAACATGGGGCTCATCTCCTCCTCCTCGTCCGTCGCATATTCACCCGTCTGGGGAGGGCACAGGGCACCATTGGCATCCCCACCCGGGGAAACGGCGTCACCGGCCCCATGTCGGGCGGAGGGACCCTGGGTGGGTGGGCGTTGTCCCCTCACCTCCTCGTCGTCCTCGGTGTACTGGGTGTAGCGCTGCTCGATCATCTCCCGCTGCCACCGCTCCTGCTCCAGCGTCTGCTGGATCAGCTGCGCCACCTCGCTCTGCTCCCCCGGCTTCTCCCGCCCGATCAGGAACCTGGGGGGCAGCGGGCACGGGGGGTCAGCAGGGAGGGGGGGCCTGGCCGCAGGGGGACAGGGCGGGGGACACAGCTGAGGGACATCCCTGCAGTCCTCCTGGGAGCGGTGGGTTTAGGGGTGTCATGGGGGCTGGGGAGCAGTTGGGGGCGTTTTGGGGGGCGCTCGGGTGGCACAGGGCAGGCAGTGGGCATGAGGAGGGAGTGGTATTTATGAGGGGGAGTGGTATTTTGGGGGACAGCCCAGCCTGGGGACAGGTTATGGGGCAGGGACCACAAGGGTCTCAGCACAGATTCTGGGGGTCTCCCAGCCCCTCAAGCCCCCAGCCCTGGGTCCTACCGGACACGGCCCTTGGTGTTCCTGAGGACGGAGGCGGCGAAGCTCTGGGTCACCCCCACCAGGCTGGTGCCATCCACCTCCACAATCAGATCGTTCACCTGGATCCTGGGGACAAGGGGACCATCACAACGGGGCTACCCCTTGCCCACCTCCCCCACCGCAGGGAACACCGGGATCATCATCTGCTCCCACCCCAGGGAACATCTGGGTCATCTGCTCCTATCTGGGAACACCTGGATCATCTGCATTCTCCTATCATGGCAACGCCTGGACCATTTCCCTGCTCCCACCCCAGGGAGCACCTGGACCATCTGCCTCCTCCTACACCAGGGAACATCCGGATCGTGTCCCTGCTCTCACCCCAGGAATGTCTGGACCATTTCCCTGCTCCCACCCCAAGGAACACCTGGATCATCATCTGCTCCCACCCAGGGAACACCTGGATCATCTCCCTGATCCCGGGGAATACCTGAACCGTGTCCCTGCTCCCACCCCCGTGCCAGGAGCAGTCATACAGGTGGGCAGTCCCCCCACCCCGTACCTGCCATCCCGGTGGGCTGCCCCTCCTTCCGTCACCGTCTTGACGAAGATTCCCAATTTCTCCAGGCCCATGTCGGCCCCCGCTCCCATCCCGATGATGCTGATCCCCAACCCTTCAGAGTCTGTGGGGACAGACAGACGTGTCCTGGCAGGGTGGCCACGGCCACTCAATGCCATGGAGTCACCTCCAAGGTGCCACAAGGGTCCTGGGGTGTGGGACAGGGTGAGGACCCACCTTTCTCCAGCTCCACAGGGAAGAGGTCGAGTCTCTCCACCCTCTTCTCCAGCTCGTACTCGGCCGAGGCGGCCATGGGGTCGACGTCCTCATTGCGGCGGTCGTAGTCCTCGTTGGAGTAAGTGCTGAACACCTGGTGGGAACAGGGAGCTGCTCAGCCAGGTGGGAAAACACCAGGGACACCCATGGCAATGGGAATTCCCACGTGGGAGAGCCCCAGGCATGGGCAGGGCAGGGAGCCTGTAAGACACCAGAGAATCCCCCTCCCCACATCGTGTCGTGGAGCGAGGGGGAGATGAGGAAGGACAAAGGGTTTGGAGGTGGCTCTGGGAGAGGAGATAGTGCCTGCACCCCATGGAAGGATGGATGGACGGATGGATGGGTGGATGGAATGGCAGATGGATGAGTGGATGGATGAATGGATGAAGGATGGATGGATGGATGGATGAATGGATAGATGGAAGAATGACTAGAAAAAAGGAAGGAAGGAAGGATAGGTGGAAAAACGGATGGATGAAATGAAGGACTAATAGAAGGATGGGGCACCTCAAATCCCTGGGGATTTTGACTCCTCTCATGAGGCACCTCAAAACCCTCCTGTGTCAAATCCTCAGGGACACTGATCCTTGTTGTGGGGCATCTCTTCACCCTCCCGTGCCAAATCCCTGGGGACGCTGACCCCCACCATGGGGCGCCCCTAAACCCTCCCTGGCCGAGGCTGGATGTGCCTCCAGGACGTTGTCCCCAGCCTGGAGCTGGAGGGAGTGGGTGCCATGTCCACTGGGGGCTGCTGGGGAGGGGCTGGCAGGGGCTGGGCCTGGCAGATGTCCCAGGAGGGGCCCTGGCCCCTCGATGCCGCCAGAGCGAGTGGATTAGGGATAACACCGTAGTGATAAAGCCTGGACACAAAGGGTATTAGGGATGAGTGTCAAGAGACAAAGCCCAGTGACACCCACAGAAGGGCAGGACCCATATGGGTGGCACCCAGGGGTGACAGGGAGGAGCAGGGCAAGAGACGTGCCAATGTCCCCCTGTCCATAGGAGGTCCCTGGAGGGCTGTGGGCACATGTCCCCACTCACCCTGCTGTGCCTCCCACCCCACCCCCAGGTCCTGGGGGATTTGGGATGTGTGGGGGGCCTGAAGCAGATTCCAAGGGAGAAGCAGCCAAAGCCAAGGGAAGGGGCTGGCGGTGTGTGCCCCCAGCACTGGGCTGGGGGTGGTCCCCAACGTCTCCAAGCCCTACAGCGGGTTTGGGGGGCTCAGCATCACCCCTGTACCTGGGCAGGGACCTGGATGCCACTCTCCACCCACCCCCACACGTGGGACCCCCCCCCAAGGTAGGTAAAAGCAGGAGGTTAAAGGCTGTGCTAGGGTGAGCAGAGCACCCCAAAAACGCATCCATGGCCAGGGCACCATTCCCAGGGCCGGGTTGGCTGGTTCCCACAGGATCAAGACTCCCTACAACGTGCAGCCACCCCAGCACACGGCCATCACTGCCCCTGCCCAGGCCACGGTGCTCCCTGTCCCCCTGTCCCCCTGTCCCAGGTGGGGCCACCCACCCGCTCTGACTCAGAGCCAGAATATAGGCCGGGGCTCTAAAAATAACCCGGCTCCGGCACAAAGCAACCGCTGCTCCCGCGGTCGGGGGGATCCGTGCGGGAGAGAACACCCCAAAATAGCTGCACGGCCCCTTTAGCCCCCCCTTCACTGGGGGAGCATCCCAGGTAGGGACCCCAAACCCTGCCAGGATCCCAGCAGGGAGCGGGGGGTGCTCGGGCGATGCCGCCCACCCGGCCATGCTGCCACGGCACTTCCCCTTCCTCCACTTCCCGAAACGGCTCTCCGGGCTGGGCACACGAGGGGGGGCACAACCCCCCCAGCGCCACCTTGTCCTAGGGGACCCCCCGGTTTGGGAGGAGTCCTGGCACCGAGGGACACCCAGGACCAAGGGTGGCACAGCCCCGGCACCCAGCACCTCGTACATGGATATTTCAGGCATCCCCTCCCAAAATATGGAGTAGGTCTTGGCCCGTCCCAGGCATGATGGGGAGGCTGGCACTGGGTGCTGTGCACAGTCCACCCCAGTGGGTACCTGACCCCATCACACCAGCCCCGGAGGGCCCCTTGTTGGCAGGGGGTCCCCACCATGCCCGGGCTTGGCCCTTCATTAGCCAGCTCGTTAGCCAGACCCAGGCCCAGCTTTCCCCAGTGCAAGGGCATAGTCAGGAGGGATGCCCTGTCTGTGGAGGGCACAGGGCAAGGGGGCACAGACCTGCACCCCATTTCTCTGTCCCCTCCAAATGGGTGATTTTGTGGGGGTCCCATACACCAATCTGGGCTGCCCCTCACCCTGGGGTGCCCTTCCTCTTAGGGTACCCCTCATCTTGGGCTGCTTGCCCACCTGGGCCCACTTGGGTACAGCCAGGGTACCCTTCACCCTGGGTGCCCCTCACCTTGGGTACTCTTCACCCTGGGTTCCTCTCACCCTGGGGTACCCCTCACCTCGGGTACCTGTCACCCTGGGTGCCCCTCACCCCGGGTACCTGTCACCCTGGGTACCCTTCACCCCAGGGTACCCCTCACCCCAGGTATCTGTCACCCTGGGTACCCCTCACCCCAGGGTACCCCTCACCCCAGGTTCCCTTCCTCCCCAGCTGCCCCCCACCCCCAGCCAGTCTCACCTGGATGGGCGCTGTGCTGAACTGGATCTTGCGGTTGGGGACGGGCTCCTCTTCCTCAGACAGCCCAGGGATCTCCACACAGCCCGACTCAGGTTCATACAGCCCTTCGGCCTCCTCCTCCTCCTCCAGCCCGCTGCCCCCCGAGTCCTCCCCGAGCCCGCTGTAGGCACTTATGTCCACCAGGTCCGCCTCAGAGAAGTCCTCCTTCTTGGCCTCCTCGTAGCCATCGCCCTCCTCCGCCCGCTCACCCTTGATGCCCTCCTCGCCCGCGGCCACCCCGGCGCCCCCATCCAGCCGTGGGGCGGTGGCTGCCGGACCCTCGTCCCCCTTGACCAGTTGGGGCATGGGTGGCACCGCTTCGCCCGCTGCCGCCGCCTCCTCCTCCTCATCCTCGCCCTCTCCGCTCTCCTCCACCTCCACCGGCTTGATCTTGCAGACCTCCTGCACCCGTGGGGCGGCCGGTTCCTTCTCCGCCGGCCTCACGCTTTTGCTCGGCGCCTTCTCCTCCTCGGGTGGCCGGGCGCGGGTTGGGGCAGGGTGCCCATCGCCCTGGCGCCCAGCCTCGGCGCCCGGTGCGAAGACCCGCGGCCGCTTGCCCACCACCTTGGCGTTGAGCGGCGCTCCCGCCCTGCCCTGCGCCTTGTGCAGGTTGTTCCGGAGATCGGCCTTCTCGAAGACGGCGCTGAGCTGGCTGACCGTGGGCGACACGGCGTCGGCGTCCAGCTTGTCCAGGGACTCGGTGCTGCCGTTGAACCTCACCACCACGTCCAGCTTGCGGTCCTGGAAGCCGGCGCGCTCCTTGCGGAGCAGCAGCTTGGTGGTGGTGGCCTTCTCCTGCGGGCTCCTCTCGAAGATCTTGCGGGTCTCCTGCAGCTTGGAGAAGGGCTTGTCGGGCTTGGAGTCAAAGCGGCTGACCCGCTCCGAGACGCTGGTGCCCAGCTTGAGGAGGCTGCCCTGGTCCATGGTCTCGCTGAGGCTGCCGGCGCGGGGCAAGGAGAGGCGCACCGGCTTCTCCTTGGCCTTGGCCAGGTCGCAGGCGCCCTCGGGGCCGGGCGCCGTCCCCATCTGCAGGAACATGTTCTTGATCCGGTGGACGTTGGAGCCATACTTCTTGCCCCGGCTCTTCTTGCCGTCCTCGCCGCCGTCGGCCTCCTTTGTGGGTGCCAGGGCCTGGATGGTGGCCTCGTAGGCGTTCCGGTGCGGGGACGCGCTCCGCAGCCCCCCGCCGCCCGCCGCCCCGCCGGAGGAGGGGGACCCCCCCCCGGCGGCCGCCCCTCCGCCTGCCTCCGTCCTCAGCATGGCTCCGCCGCTTCTCCCCGCAGCATCGCTCGCCGCCGCCGCCCCCGCCGAGCCCCCCGCTCACGCCGCGGCCCCTCGCCGGCTACAGCGGCATCGGGGAGGGCGAGGATGCTGCCGGGGGGGGCCGCCGCCGGCACACCTGCACCGGCCGGCTGCCAGGCCCCGTCAGGCCATGTCCATCCTCGGCGGGGCCCCCCCGCCCGCCCTGCTCCGCCGCGGCCCTTCTTCCTTCCTCCCTTCTCCTCCTCCTCTTCCCCTTTCTCTGTGGCTGGTGATGGAGCCGCCGCTGCCTGCGCGCTCTGCCCGCCCCGCTGCCCGCAGAGCCCTCTGGGTCTTAGCAGCGCTCTCTCGCTCTTCCTCTTCCTCGGCGCCGCGCTTCGGCCTCAGCGCCGCCGCCGCCTCAGCCCGGCCATGGGGACCCCCCACCACCCCCACCCCAAAGCCCCCTCTCCCCCTACGGTCCCCTCCCCGCACCCGCCCGGGGGTCCCCTCCCTGCGGCGCGTCCCCCCCCAGCATCCGCGCTGTGCAGTGTGGGTCCCCCCCCGCGCCGGCTTGGCCGCTGTTACCACCCCTCGCGCTGTCCCCGTGTGTCCCCCCCCAGCGCTGTCCCCGTGTGTCC